TTTACATGTTGGTATGAAAAGGTAGGACATTTTACTGGCTTTGTCTCCATGTTACAGAATTCTTTATTTTCGTGAATCACATTGTCAGGTATTTCTTTTTAGATCAATCAACCTTGGTATTACCTTGTTGACATGTAAACTTTTACGTGTCCTCGTATAAATCTTAAACCTCATGGATAGCTGTTTTAAATAATCCGAGTTGTATAGTTTATTATTTGCGGTCACTTGACACTTGTCCATACGTGTTTGTGTGTACTGTTGGAGTTTGAATGCAATAAATGCATTTGTGTAGGTGGATTGTTGGGTGTTATTTTGAATATGGTTAGTGAAAGAAAATTGTTCAGATAAAATTCAACATCCTCAACATAGAACTTTGATAGTTCCAGTGTAATGAACTGGAGAATTCTCAGCTTTGCTCCAGTCTGTTGGCTTTGCTGTTCCATTGTCATCATTATAAATGCTCTGTTATACATGGACGTGAAATAGGGCATTATATTTTTTCACCTTCAAGAGGGGAGATTGCTAGAACTATAGGAACTATAATAGTGTTTTACTTAGTACATGTATGAAACTAAAAGTTTGTGGCCAACTCTATGAAAATTTTAGAGTCTAAGATTAAATGAAAAATAAAATTAGAAATAAAAATATCAAAAAAGTAAAATCGACATGTGATATTTTGTATTAATTGTTGTCTCTACTAGTGAAGGTAATTATCACATAAAGAATAAATAAGACCTAATGAAAATCTCTTTTAACTGCATATATTCTTTTATTTAATTACTACATAGATATTTGTACCTATATTGCTTAAAATCTAAAAATTTTAGGAAACAATGGTTGAAATCTATTGCACTTATCCTTAAGGGGAAAGGTCAAATATGTGTTATTGGCCTTACTCCTGCTTTTTATTATTTGCTCATACACAAAATCAATATTGCTATGAGTTTATAAGCTTGTAAGATTTGGGAATGCTAAGCAAAAATTTACATCCTTTAGTAAAACACTATTTTTTACCTTATATTTTGTAGAGATTATTTTTACGGTAAATGTACATTTTTTCACCATTGATCAAGAAATAAATCCCATCCTCCTCAAAACAACATCTGCTGAAACAGATTTGTCCAGATCTGAATTGCACTGTTTAAACCATTGTCAGTATTCAACTAATAGCTAGTTCCATTTCTGGGGCTATATTTAAGTACTCATTCTTGATTCAAGTTGTCTTATTCCAAATACAGAAGTGAATTTTTAGATATCCTAGCTAACTTTAATGTAAAACTTATCATAGCCTACTGCTCAAATCTTCCAGAACTGACCTCTGACTTGTCCTAGAAATGACATATGACTTCGCACCTGTGAAACTTATTTGCTATTATTTCTTCATTCATCTTTCATATGCAAATTGACTATGAGCTCTCTTAAAATAAGTAGTCATGTTTTATTCCTGGTTATTTCTTTAAGGTTTACCCTGCTGCTTATGAAAACTGTCCAGTGAAAAATTAATGAATACATTCATTAATATGATGAAGTAAGACGATTCTAACCATAATTATCAATGAGATCTGAGGACTGAAAATGTCCAATAGTTTTTTAAGACTATGCCAGTTAATTTTATCAATGATATGTTCGTTTTTATCTCATGTTTGTTGTACAATGACCTTAGCAATAAGATGCAGGTAGTAAATATCACTGTAAAAAAGATACGGTTTAATTTTATTTAGGGAAAGAAAGACTTATAGGTTATCTGAATAAGCATATATTCTTAAATGTAACATAATCTTTCCTGAATCATGAATTTTCTTTTAAAGACAAATATATTCTTTGTAATCTTTTATAACATGCTCGTTTTTGGATAAAACTTTTTGTTCTCTTATTTTTATTTTACATGGTGTCAATGAATGAAAACATTGCAAAGAGCCCCCGTTTTGCAAATACCCTGAAGTCAGCAATTTGAGCAGCAATTGGGAAATGAGGTTTTATATAGTTCTCTGAATTCTTCTAGGCGCAATAGTATTTGTATTAATTTGCTCAGGCAAGCATAACAAAATACTACAGTCTGAATGGTATAAATAAAAGAAATTTATTTTCTCACATCTCTAGAGACTGGAAGTCTGAGATCAAGGTGTTAAATTTGGCTTATTCTGAAGCTTCTCTCCTTAGCTTGCCGATGGCTGCCTTATTGCTGTGCTCATTTGCCTTTTTCTCTCTGTATGTATTTCCCTAGTGTATCTTTCTCGTTATGTCCTAACTCCTCCTCTTATATGGACAACAGTCATATTAGATTAAGACCTATCCTAATGGCCTACTGTTAATGTAAGCAACTGTTTAAAGCACCCATTTCCAAATATAATCTCCTTCTGAGGTACTAGGGATTAGGGTACAACACATAAATTATTATTTTTCATTTTTTAAGAGAGTCTCACTTTGTCGCCCTTGGGAGAGTGTCATGGGGTCACAGCTCACAGCAACCTCATACTCTTGGGCTCAAGAGATTTTCTTGCCTCTGCCTCCCAAGTAGCTGAGACTACAGGAACCTGCTACAATGCCTGGCTGTTTTTGCAGAGAGGAGGGTCTCCATTTTGCTTAGGCTGGTCTTGAACTCCTGAGCTCAAGCAATCTACCCACCTCAGCCTTTGAGAGTGTCATCTATATGTATGTAATCATAATATAATTTATTGTTTGCTATCAAATTATCATTGGAGGGGTAACAAAAGTTCAGCGTTAACTGTATTTCATCCCCCCTCCCCTGTATATAGAATAATTGTATTTCCCACAGTCACTTTCCCCTGGTGATTCATGAAACTGAATTCTAGCCAATGAAAATGCAATTAACTAATGGTCTCCAAAATTTCATTCCGTGGCTTGTTGAATATGATACTCATGGGGAAGTAGTCATAGTAAAGCATGTAAATTGTGCTATTTTTGAAGTAGTAAAAAGTAGAGGGCAAGAACTTAAACATCAGTGTAAATAGTTACATAATATAATGTACAATCAAATACAAACATCTCATGTAGCCTTTAAAAGCCTTTTAAAAACAAAAACACATTATTTGGTTCTTTTTAACATTTTTAGAAAAATGTACATACTAGTCTAAAAACCTGGATCCTCAACCAAAATCAAACTCACAAAAAGCAAAATTTTAAACTGTATTTGTCTGTGTAGATAAAGATTATGAATCTATCTAGAAGGACTGCACACAAAATCAGAAGTTTGGTTATCACTGGAAGATAAGGGGAGAGGATAATAATTGCTTTTCTTTAATGAAGATGTTTTGGTATATCTTAAATGTCCATTTCCTTTTAATTTAAAGGGATCTATGTTTTATTTGCATATTTACAATAATTAAAAAATTACATTCTATGTAGATATCTATCTTTTCTATAAGAATTATCTCTTACCCCATTTAAGCATTCTTAGGTGCATCCATTTTATTTATACAATTTATCATTATCTTAATATTGCTTAGAATGTGATTTAATTTGTTTCCATATTTCTTATATTATGTCCTTACCAAGATAATACTATGTGTAACCAACTTAGCATCATCAAATGTTCATTATCCTCAAATATCACCCCGGAGTTAGAGAGTAGAGTGTTTGTATAACAGAATTTCTAAGGGGAGAAATGAATTTACAGTTTTAAAATATATTTAATATCACAATAGAAGTCCAAATAATACACATTTAGGAAATATCAGTGACAAAATCTTCATAATCGATGAGGATATGCAAATGACAGACCCTAACAAGCCAAGAAATAAAAAAAGTCAGAAGGGCAGCGCCTGTCGCTCAAAGGAGGAGGGCTCCAACCCCATATACTGAAGGTGGCAGGTTCAAACCCAGCCCTGGCCAAAAAAAAAAAAAAAGTCAGTAAAAGTATTACTTATGAGGGATTGCCATATTTATTCCTTTTCATTATTTAGCATTCCTCTTACCCAGCTTCAGGTGGCATGTAGCGTAGCAAAATTTCCTGACTCATTTTACACCAGGTTTCTTCATTTTGAATTTATACTTGTTTCACATGCAGAGAAAAGCTCTGGAAAGGCCTTTTGTCGTATTTTCTCTTTCATTTTTTCACATAACTATACTCTGCTCTATCTAAATCTTGTATTCATAATTCTTCATCATAGCCAAAACCCATTCTTCCTATACAGAGCCCTAGTTTACACACTCAGAAGCAAAAACTAAATTAAAAAAAAAAAACAAAACAGAAAACAATACATGTCATTTTTTTTCCCAAGAATCCTTTTGAATGTGGAACACAAGTGGCTGTTACATCAGAAGACAAAGCAAAATCACCAATTTTCATGCTGTGATTTTCAGCGTGGGACAGAGAACATTTGTAAGTATCTACGATCTCTTGTGGAAGAGTTCATAAAAACTGTTTAGACTTACCATATTTTGTGCTTGAATATGCATACAAAAAGAATTTGAAATTAATTGATCTTGCAGCTTGATTGGGACAACATAGGTGATTATTATTATTATCACTGGAAGCAATTGTAGGCACTGAATGACACTCCATTGAACCTACCGCAGTCCAATTAACAGTCCTCCAATTTTGTCAGTATCATTGTAATAAATTGTGGAACTGTAAGTCATAAAGATACCAAATAAATATAATAAACAATTACTTAATTTGTATAATTATGATTTTTTATACCCACTATATGTCATTCATGCTGCTAGTTGATTGCCAATGGTCTAACAAATGTACAGTGTTTGTGTGTTCCTAGACTAAAATGAAATACTACGCTTTTGAATTACTGTGCTTTCTAGCCATCTGGTAAAATGTAGGTGGTTGTGGACAGGGCCAAGAGAAGTTATGTGGACTGATTTGTACATTTTGCACACAATTTTATGTATTGTCCTCATTTTACATATGAGCTTTGCCACATTCATCTCTCAGTTCAGTGACCATAAGAATGTTCTTTTTGTGGCAGACCACAGAAACGCAAGAATGGGTGGAAACAGTCAGGGTTTTCTAAGTTTTTGTCTTTAAACTGGCATGTTGTGACTCCAACCATTTTCCATTGGCTAGGCCAAAGGCTGTCTCTGATGAAGCTTGGTATCCCCAGTGGGGGAAAGAATACTTAGGCTTCAGTGAATCACTGCAAAGTCACATGGCAAAGGGCAACTTGCATGTGTAAGGTGGGTACAAGGAGGAGGCACTAAGGTATTCTCCATAAATTCTCTTGAGCTGCTTCTTTCTAATGATGCAATCCAGGTTAAACTTTCTACCCTACTTTATGAATCCAGGGATTAGCAGAAGTTTGGTATCCAACTAATTAAACTCCTAGGAGTGTCCTTCCAAAACGAAGTGCAGGTATATTTCTACAAAATAAAAAATATATATTTAATAGAGCCATAAATCATCGGAGAACTACAAAAGTATTAATAAATGAATAAATTGAATTATGCCACTAGTATAGATGAATATTTTTAGTCACTAATAAAATTTAAGAAAAGGAATTTTAAGAAATTAATTAGGTGGGTTTATTTATACAACAAATTTTAACAGGTGCATGTGCCAGTGTTAAATGTTACAATAAGTACTAGAATTACAAAGGCTAAAAACCATAATTGATCCTTCCTTGTATTGAGGGCTGTAGAGAGCATATGAATATAGCAAGAAGTTATTAGAAACAATTTCTAAGATTTAGGTGAAAGACAATGTGGTTGTACAAAATTGAAGGTAATGAAGATGAGAAACATGGATGTGTTGAAGGTATAGAATAGCTAGGATAGAGTGGTGCCTGTGGCTCAAGGAGCAAGTTGCCAGCTCCATATACCATGGGTGGTAGGTTCAAACCCAGCCCTGGCCAAAAAAAGGACAAAAAAAAAAAAAAAAAAAGAATAGCTAGGACATTGTGTGAGTTGAAGAATAAATTTCTTCTACAAAGATTCCATTTTCCTTGTGCATACGATATGGATGTAAAACTTAAAGTCATGAGTTAACAATAGAGGAGGAAAAGTTTTGAGGGAAAAATGTAATTTATTTCTGAAGATGTATGGTAAGAAATGGTTGTGAAAAACCTCAGCATAGGTAGAGAGTAATTAGTTAATTCACCATTTTGGACTTGAGAAAATAGTCTGAAGACAACTTATCAACTAAGGTGAAAAATTAGTATAATGCTGGCATTTAAAGTTCTGAAAGGAGATAAAATTAATTTGGAAAAGAATGGAGGGTGGAAGCATGGGCATGAAAGCAGAGTTAGGCCTGTTTTACAAGTATTCACCTGCAAATTTTTACAAAGAAGTAGATAAACAGATAAATGGGTAATATAAAACCAAGAAAGAAGGAATTTCAAGAACTGGGAAATAGTTTACTATGTATGATGTCATTAGAATGATTAAGCTGAGGACTGAAACTGATTTAATGAATTTAGCAACAAAGGGTCAAACTTAGCAAAAATAGTTTTAATGAAGTGGTAAGAGTTAATTGCAACATTTTTACCTTATAAGCAACCTAAGAAGTTGAATGCTATGGTATTTATTTATCTGTTTGATCCAGTAAGCTTTTAAATTGCATTGATATGGAAAGTCATTCCTGGGAAATGTGCCCTGGTAAGATAGGAGGAGTTGTAAATTGTAACTTTTATTTTCTCATCATGAAAGCCCTTGATATAAATAAAAGCTTCATTGATCAGATATAAAATTATAACATTAAATGTCAGTTTCAGTAAAAAAATACTTTCAGACAGCCAGAATGGGATGAAATGAAATCGCCTTTGCCAGGCATGTAAATCTCCAGGGTAATATATTTATCTCAATATTGTGTCCCATATTTCATGATTCAAACATATCTACGAAATTATTTCTAGATTTAAAATGTTTTGGGGGTGACAGAAAGCAATGAAAAATTTAGTTGAATCGGGGAATGCATAAAATTTTATTTGTGAAATAAGTTTCTTTTTGAAACTAATTGTCAATTTTCTTTCTTTTTCCAAAGAAAGAAATGAGAGTATTGATCCAGTGTCTCAAATGTATCAGCTGCTTCTGCTTGCCCTAAACTTCAAAGACCCACCGCTTTTTCTCAAATAGAAGAATATCCCTGAAAACAAAATCCAGTCAAACTATACACCTAAAAATATTCATTTCCATCACTCTTAGAGGAAAGAAAGCTACATTATTAAAATTTACTGAGAATATATATCTAAAGTTTCTTCTATATTTTCCACCTGCTATATCCTCCGCACCCCCCAAGTCTGGTATTTTCATGAGTTCTAACGACATGAACTAAGATCTCAAGACTGATTATGGTAGTTTTGCTCATACCTTTACTTTGTAGCCTCATAATGTCTTCCAAGTAATCAGTGGGTTTGATGAAAAATTTAGATCAAGTTTTCAATGAGAAATAAAATCTATTTGACTTCTTAGGCATATGTATAAATGTGATGTAATTCAAAACTAATATCTAATAACATACACATATACTTCTGCTTCTGTTAGGAAGCAGAATACATTATGATCAATAATTTGGAAAATTTAGTTTAACAGTTCATGATGTAATTATTTTAGCATGGTGTAAGTTTTGCACAACCCATTTACTAATACCTTTGGCCAGATTAATAGGGTTTGTTTATGTATTTATAGATCTTCATGCACTTATTTTCATCTATTATTTATATTAAAATAACATGAGTGTAGTAAAAATCTTAAACTGCCACAAAAGGATAAAATTAAAAAAAAAATTCCCCAAGCCAGGTGTGGTGGCTCATACCTGTAATCCTAGCACTCTGGGAGGCCAAGGCAGATGGAATGCCTGAGCTCAAAGGTTTAAGATCAGACTGAACAAAAGCAAGAACTCATCTCAAAAAGTACCCAGACATTGTGGCGGGTGCCTGTAATCCCAGCTATTTGGGAAGTTAAGGCAAAAGGATCACTTGAGGTCAAGAATTTGAGGTTGCTGTAATGCCATGGTACTCTACTGAGGGCTACAAAGTGAGACTCTGTCTCAAAGAAAGAAAAAAATTCCCCAAATGAAGGCCCTCTCCTCAAACATATTATTATTTTCTAGTCACCATAAGTATATTCTTTTTTAGTTGACAAGTGAAAATTGTATATATTAATGGTGGACAATATGTTTTGATATATGTGCATACTGGGGGATGGCTAAATTAAAGTATTTAAAGTAATTACAATTTTGTGTCCTCCACCCAACATCTTCCCAATCCTGTACTCTAAGCCAAGTGGTACCATCATTCTACTCCCTTTTTCTGTGAATTCAACTTTTTGACATTCCATATATAGGCAAAATCACGCAGTATTTGTCTTTTTACACTAGGCTAATTTCACTTAACATAAGGTTCTCCAGGTTCATCGAAGCTATCAGAATGAATGGGATTCCTTTCTTTTTTAAAGACCCCATTGTGCATACACCACATTTTCTTATACATTTATCCGGTGATGGACACGTATATTAATTCTACATCTTGGCTGTTGCTAATAATGTGGTGTAATTAATATTTGAACACAGATATTTCTTTGATATACTGATTTCATATCTTTTAGATGTCTACCAGAAGGGGGTTGCTGGATCATATGATAGATCTATTTTCAATTTTTTTTTGAGAAAACTCTATATTATTTTTTATAATGACTGTAGTAATTTACAGTCCTATCATCTATGTGCAATGGTTCTGTTCTCTCCAGATCCTCCCCTACATTTGTTGTCTTTTGCTTTTTTCATAGCAGACCTTGTAACAGATGTATAGTGATATCTCAGTGTGGTTTAACTTACATTTCCCTGATGATTAGTGATGTTGAATTTTTTTTTCATGTATCTGCAGGCCATTTGTATGTCTTATTTTGAGAAATATGTAAAAAATAGTTCTATTGTCATGTATAGTTGGATCATTTATTTTCTTATTATTAAGTTGTTTGAGTTTCTTATATATTTTGAAAATTAATCCCCTTATCAGATGTATGATTGCAAACGTTTTCTACCATCTTGTAAATGGTCTCTTCACTCTGTTGATTGTTTTCCTGGTTGTATAGATTGTTTTTAGTTTGATGAAATACTATTTTTCTATTATTTCTTTTGTTACCTGTGCTTTTGGGGTACATTCATAAAATCTTTGTCCAGATGCAGGCCTTATGCTTAAATTTTTAATCCAATTTGTGTTGTTTTGTGCATTGTGTGGAATAAGGGTACAATTTAATTCCTCTGGATATGAATAACTAGTTTTCCCAACATCATTTGTTAAAGATAGCATAATAACTAAGTTCTGAAAAAAACTACAGGAATGAACAAACACAACAAAAAAAGAGATGAAAATCATGAGATACAAAATGTAGCACAAGCAAGACTTACAGTTTTGCAGAGCTGGTTTCAGGATGTTTTTGAAGCCTGGTTGTTAGGGGATAATGGAGAAATACACAAGATGCCTGGAATGCCCTCTACACCCCACCAACCCCTGCTGTGGACCTAGATTTTGATAGAGAATGAAGAGATAAAATATAAAGCAATGGGCTCTTTAATCAAGGAGCATGGGAAGAGTGGTAGAAAGGAGTAAATCCAAACCACAACAGCAGAGACTTTCTGCCCATCCACTCACTGACGCATCTATAAAAGTGTAAGCTAAGGTCTAGCCAGGTAGTCATCAAGAATGAAAGGAGCCAACTTTCAAGAGGAATTTAAAGGTAAGCTTACACACAAACAATATGTCTGAAAAGCAAAATCGATCAGAAACAATGGTCAAAAATTGAACAACATGCAAATAAAAGAAAAACAAAACTGAAAGAGACTCAAGGACAATAATTAAACAAGAAGGTGTGATAAATATCTTAAAGAATAGAGAGGATAGGCTTGGCGCTGGTAGCACAGTGATTATGGCACTGGCCACATGCACCCAGGTTGGAGGGATCAAACCCAGCCTGGGGCCAGCTAAACAACAATAGCTAAAGAACAATGACAACTGTAAAAACAAAAACAAAAACCCACTGGGCGTTGTGGCAGGCACCTGTAGACCCAGATACTTGGGAGGCTGAGGGAAGAGAATCACTCAAGCCCAAGAGTTGGAGGTTGCTGTGAGCTGTGACACCACAGCACTCTACCGAGGGTGACCTAGTGAGACCCTTGTCTCAAAAAAAAAAAAAAAAAAAGAAAGAAAGAATAGAAAGGATATAGAACACATCAAGGCAATTATAAGTAGAAATTTTTAGAAATATTGAAAATATGAATCACATTATTAAGTGGCATAATGAATGCACATGGACCAAGTTTTTTTCTTTTTTCCTTTATTGAGGCTTATTTTTATACAATAAAATACAATAAATTTAAGTGTATAGTTAGATGAAATTTGACAATGTATACTTGCATGATACTATCACTGAAAAGAATAAAAAGACATTTTTCCATAATTCCAAAAGATAACCTGTAACCCTTTCCAATCAATACAATGTCCTGCCCAATGCCATTTTCTTAGTTATTGAGTTAAGACATTCATACTCTGCTTTTAGAAAGATTCACTTGTACCCTTGTAAGATAAACCATACAGGTGACCCCACCAATCTCCCTCTACCCCTCATCCACCCCCCTTGTCTCCCCTCTCCCACCCCCTTCCCATATTCTAAGGCTATAATTAGGTTATGAAATTCTTATAAAAGGTATGAATTAGTTTCAAAATAGGGCTGTGTACATAGGATACTTTTTCTTCTATTCTTGAGATACTTTGCTAAGAAGAACATTTTCCAATTCTATCCATATAAACATGAAGGAGGTAAAGTCTCCATCTTTCTTTAAGGCTGCATAGTATTCCATGGTGTACATAAACCACAATTTATTAATCCAGTCGTGGGTCAATGGGCATTTAGGCTTCTTCCATGACCTAGCAATTATGAATTGGGCTGCAATAAACATTCTGATACAAATATCTTTGTTGTAATGCAATTTTTGGTCTTCTGGATATATACCTAATAAAGGAATTGCAGGATCAAATGGCAGGTTTATTTTTAGTTCTCTCAGTGTTCTCCAGATGTCTTTCGAAAAGGAATGAATTAATTTGCATTCCCACCAGCAGTGTAGAAGTGTTCCTTTTTCTCCACATCTATGCCAACATCTCTGGTTTGGGAATTTTGTGATATGGGCTAATCTTACTGGGGTTAGGTGGTACCTCAAAGTAGTTTTGATTTGTATTTCTCTGATGATTAAGGATGGAGAGCATTTTTTCATATATCTGTAGGCCATGTGCCTATATTCTTTAGAGAAATTTCTATTCATGTCCCTTGCCCACCCTGAGATGGGATCGCTTATCTTTTTCTTGCTAATACATTTGAATTCTCTGTGGATTCTGATTATTAAACCTTTGTTGGAGACATAACCAGCAAATATCTTCTCCCATTCTGAGGCCTGTCTACCTGCTTTATTTACTGTGTTCTTGGCTGTACAGAAACTTTTAAGTTTTATCCGGTCCCAAAAGTGTATTTTTGACATCGCTTCAATTGCCCAAGGGGTCCTCCTCATAAAATTTTCACCCAAGCCAATTTCTTCAAGTGTTTTCCCTACACTTTCTTCTAGTATTTTTATAGCTTCATGTCTTACATTTAAATTTTTAATCTAGTGAGAGTCTATCTTAATTAAGGTGAAAGGTGTGGGTCTAGTTTCAGTCTTCTACAGGACGCCATCCAGTTAGCCCAGCACCATTTGTTAAATAGGGAATTTTTTCCCCACTCAATATTTTTAATTGGCTTGTCAAAGATCAGATAATGGTAGGTGGCTGGATTCATCTCTTGGCTCTCTATTCTGTTGTTTGTTTTTTGAGACAGTGTCTCACTATGTTGCCCTGAGTAGAGTGCCATGGTGTCACAGCTCACAGCAACCTCAAACTCTTGGGCTTAAGTGATTCTCTTGTCTCAGCCTCCTGAGTAGCCAGAACTACATACAGGTGCCCACCACAATGCCCAGCTATTTTTTCACTGCAGTTGTCATCGTTGTTTAGCAGACCCTGGCTGGTTTCAAACCCACCAGCCTTGGTGTGTATGTGGCCAGTACCCTAACTACTGAGCGACGTTAACCAAGCCTGTATATGTTGTTTGGTCATGTCTTAGTCTATATAAATTTGGATTCAGTTTGTCATTATTCACACATGTAAAATTATTTGGCATTTTCATCGGAATTGTGTTGATGCTATCTATAGACTAAGTCGGGAAGAAATAATA